AAAGTACTTAAGAAGGTGATCATGTCATCATTATGCATAATCATCATGCATCAACTCATGGATGCATTTTAGGTTTATATTACAGCATGCCAACGTTATTTATGGAGTGTTTTATATATTACCTGAAATAATGTTAATACCAATGATTATGCAAACTTTGTTATGCATTCACTAAAACAAGTTTACTTTCATGTTATATGTGTTGACTTGTATGAAGTGAATCAATTTCAAAACAATTGTGTTGATTTGGATTTCCGAAAACCCTAATTCTCAGCGTTTAATTCTACCCTGGAAAACCTATTTCAAAATCTAAGAAAATTTTGGGGTTGAGCCTAAAAGCAAAAGTGTAGAGTTTGTCAAGATGTACAAAGTTGGTTTTTGGAGTTTTCAAAGTTATTTTATAAAATTTGAAGTAATTTGAAAAGGCGTAATTCTTTAAATGTCCCCTTTTTTAATTCAAACTTGTATTTAAAAATGTAGACCAAATTTGGGTATGGTTATAAAAGCAAAGTTTTAGAACTTTGAATTTTGAGAAACTTTTATTTTTGGAGATTTTTTAGTTACCATGCAAATTTGGGAGTAATTTAAGAATTTTGGCGAATGGCAATTCTGTAATTATGGTGAACAGTGACCGTGGAAGCCACCTCACCGCCGGCGATCTTCTTCTGTGTTCCAGGCGCCCTCGTGGCCGTCTTTAGCTTCGCGCTGGCGTGGGAAAGGCTCCTGCGTGGCTTGCTCTTGCTTCTGAGCTGCGTTATAAGGCCTTCACCACCGTCGTTCTTTGCCGTTTCTCCTCCTCTATTTTTCCAATCGCCACCGCCGCTGCTCCATCGAGCTTTCGCCGTCAACCTAGCGCCTTTACCATCTCAACAAAGCATGCCTCAGTTCCGCCTACTCCTTGCGAACCCACCCAACTGAGCCTTGGTGACTAATTTAGCCGAGGAACGCCGCTCGCTGCCTTTCTTCCTTGCGTCCGGCAACATCACAGTCACGTGTGCTTCACCGTGGCCATCGTTCTACGGTGAGCCGCTGCTCTTGCGAAGTCTTATTTCATCTTCGCCATGATGCCGTGGTGCTTTATGTCTTGTTGCTTGTTCGTTTCGTCCACCGCAGTCGCCGGAGCACCGCCATCAACGTCGCTTGCACCACCGTGGCTGCTGTGACCGACGACCTGCATCTCGGTTGATCCTCCGTCTTGGCCATCGACTCCAGAGTGTTCGGGGTGAGCTCTTGAGCATTCCTGGGCCATTTATTTAACTGCTACTGGTCCTGTTTTGTCGGCGAAGCGTAGCCGCACCACCGTGTCCGCCATGGCCGGCGTCAAGCTCAGATTGTACAGCGATCGATGCAAGTAGTGACATCAGTAGGTGCGCCTAGTCGTGGTGAACATGTTGGTGCCTTCGCCGTCGCCGTTTATCTCACCGGCGGCGAGAAATCGCCGGTCAGCGTGCGTATCGCCGTGGTCAGCGCGGGAGGAAGCGGATGACAGGTGGGGTCAAGGTGTCAGTGGCGGTTTGATTTGAAAATGGAATTTTCTTTTTCAGAAATGAATGAATAGTGTATGCTTTTGTTATTTTTGTGTAGAATTAATTAGAGTTCCAAAAATTATGAAAATTTTTGTGTAACCTCTCTGTGATGTATACTATTTAGGAAAAATATGAACCGTTGATTTTCAGTACATTTTGAATGTGATAAAAATTGCTCAATTAATTAATAAATGAGTTTCCATGATTTTTCTAGGCTTAATTAATTATCCAAAAATTATAAAAGCAAATAGTAACCTTTAATGACTTAGGTTTTTGTTTGAATTTTGGATTGAGCGATGACCTTGGGTCATTAGTTGGTAATGATCCTTGGCAATTGAAGTAAGTGTTACAAAAAAGGTTGAGTTAGTTTGACTTGTAACTGTACCGCGAAGGAAAGTTGTATTCAAGTTTTTAACTTTCGCATCTGTCGTCAAGCATCATGTTTCATATCTCGCGTCATATTAAACATGGCATTGGTACTACGTGTAGTGAACGAAAGTGAGCACGTGGTAGTTAATCAAGTTGAGGAGGAGGTTAATCCGTCTGTTGAGGTCGAATTTGATAATTGTGGAACGACTCTGAAACCTGACTTTTCCGTTAATCAAGGCAAGCCCCGGATGCATTTAAACCTACCTTGTGTTTTACAAATTGATATCACTTTTGCTTTTCTACTACATTAAGTGATTAGGAGTTGAGTGAAAACCTAATTGGTGCATTACCAACCTTGTTTTTCCATATCTACCTTGTTACCAGTTTTAATTCGTATATGCCTAGTTATGTTTAGCTATGCTTAGAACGATGAAAGTCGGGTGATTACCTGTCACCTGCGAATTTTAAATGGATCTTTGGTTACACTTGGTTACTTATGTTATTATGAGATATGGGCATGTGAAGTAATAAATCTAGACCGGGCGGACTCGGTGTGTGAGAGCCACAAGACATGGAGGTCTTGTGAGCGGGTTCTTTCTGCCTGTGTCGATTAAGGTCTGTCCGTTGTTGAATTACATGAGGTGACACTTTATAGTACTAACCACATACTCCGGTAAGCCTTAACTTGGCTATTCTATTACGAGAATGGCTACTCGCGCACTGGGAGTGGAGAGATGGCGGGAATAGCGTGTACCCACGTGGCAAGGTGCTGGATTGGTGGAGTACTGTATTCTCGGGTGGCGTGGACCCGTTCTTGTTTTAGAGGACCTGAGGGTAGGTTGGTATATGGAGGTCAGGGACCTGCATATGTCGTGTGGTCTGGAATCCCCAGCTAGGTTTAATCGGTTCGAATCGTCGTTGCTCCTTGGTTATGGAGACTCAACTCACTGTTCATCATCGTAGTTAATAACTGTAACTTGAGTAAGGTTTGAGAAAGTGTTGGATATAAAGTTTCATGATCTCATTACGGATTATGTCAGCTTTGTATATGATCTTTTTGAAGATAAAAATGTTGATATAAATAATCTTGTTAAAGAACTTTTACGCAAAAGAACTTTGATTATTGCTAAAGCCATACCTTGAATCCCTGAGCTTGCATTCCTGAGTCTTCTCAGTTTTTATTTCGGTTAAGTCTTGTTTAGTACTTTTATACTCAGGGTTCGTTGACCCTTGTTGAGGTGAGGCTCATGAGCAGGTCTGCTTTGGACCGTGCTGCATGACTGTTATTCAATGCGATGACGATAAGTAAATGCGTGGCCCTTGAGCAGGGCAATTTATTTGTGTATTTGTATTATGTTACTAATGCCACTCCACTACTACGGTTTGTAATATTAATTGAACTTAGTTTGTAAGGTTTGAATTAAATGTTTTGTAAACTAAGTTATTGTAAGACTTCCGTTATTTTACTCTGATGTAGATATTTGAATAAACTGTTGTAATACTGCAATGACTCTGTAATGGGATTCTGCTCAGAAATCGTGGATGATTCGGAGTTCTCCGAGGACACCCGACAGTCTTCTTAAGTTATTAGGAACATATGCATAGTCGTCAGAGGTCATTGGACAGTGACAGGTGCATGTGGGCCGTATAATTTAGGAGGTTCTGCCACACTAGGCCATAGTTAGAATTAACGCCACATTCGCACTTGACTGGTGGTGCTTTGTAAATTAACCTTTCTTTCTTCTTTTGTTTTGTTTTTGGAGGTTCTTTGGGTCATTTGTTCTTAGAACTATACAACCACTCCTTGAAACGACACTTCGCCATTGAATACATCTAAATAACGTGATATTAGTACATGACACATATAGCTCAATATTTCAACACATACACTTTGCACTTACTTCATGCTTGTTTGGACACACAAACTCCAACGTGTTGTTAGGGTTTATCACGGCTCAGTCTCCGCAATGGCACAGAGGAGGTTCCTCGAGTCGTCTAACTGCGGCTAAGTGCTTCTCTTTAGCCGTCATTGGAGAGGGGTTAGGGGGAGGTGGAACCCACCGCTCGAAGTGCTCTCGTGGATGTCGTCCTCTCCACCAATCGTCGAAAAGGAGGTACCTAGGGTCAAACTGGTCTGCACCGTCGATCCACTGAAAAAGCACCTCTCATGATCCTACACAACAAAAAATCAACAAAATATTAGTAATCTAGTAATACAAATGAAGAAGAAAAATATAGTGGAAACAATTACTTACATTAAAACGACTGCACGTGTAGAAGCAACGAGCCGCTGTATCCGGATGTCTCGATTGAAATACGTCGGCCGGACGACCATAGTCACAATTAGGGACAGGGAGTTCAGGAGGGACGGGGGTATCTTTGCTAGACTCGTCAGGGTACATTTCTCTAGGACGATCCCGTTTTCGCCATAACTGCTCCCGAAACATGTCTTCCATCTAATAAAATGGTTCAAATTAAACATGAATCAAACACAACGCAAATTAATGTAAAATGTAATCATTTGCAATGCAACTAAAATATTACAAACAACATTTATAACAACAAAAATATACATAGCAAACATACTTCTAACTAAATAATTAATATTGACAAAATCAAACTAATATATTCACCATAGTTCCCAAACATAATTTTCCTACTAACATTAACTCCCATTGATAATATCCTATTTACCATTCAAACCAAAATAAAATGTACATCATTACCTTAAACTAGGACGAGGAGGGAGGGAGGCTACATACGCTAGAAAGGAAAGATACTATGGTAAAAAAGATGCATCAAAGAATAATACCGAAATTAAAGAAGAACAAAAAAATGTTATCTTGCTTTTTGAAAAACTTACATTTTATAAAATTTTATGTAGTACCGGTACAAGTGGTGTTAAACCATGAAGACCTATGAGGTTTTTTTTTTGTCATGTAAGGTTCTTCGGTTGGTACCTTATATTAATTAGCCCGGGGCGCAGCCTGTTTCTGGATCCGCCACTGACTCCCAGCAATGTTTGATTACAAAAATTAATCAATTACCTATGGCGTACACCTGAGTAAGATCGTAAGGGGCGACAAAAATGTATGTATCTGAAGTCTAGCCCATCCTTCCTGGGACAAGGTACAGTTGTGCATAGATCATCATACTCTCTCGGACCAAAAATGTGAAGGTGGGACCGCTTATCAGGAGATTTGGATTTGCAGTGGAGATGTCAGCAAGAGCGATCTTCTTTGTGATGACAGCAGGAATTTCCAATTTGGAGGACTGCTGCAAAGTTTCACTTGAGGAAAGTGCAACCCAAGAACATGAAAACATAAGCCGTCAGCGAAGTAAGGAGCTCAAGGGACCATGTAGGCAGGATGATGAAAGCTGGGATAACTGGAACAAGAAAAGAACCCAAGATCCAGCGACCCACAAAGACTCCGAGCCTGGAAAAATAAACAAGTTAAAACCTGGGGCATGACTTATAACAACTAAGATAGTATCCAGTGGAAATGCTCACTAACCCTGTGGTGGACCGTGGACGCCCTGACAAGATTCTTCATCTTCTCATTGAAGAAGTATATGCATGAGACCAGTGATAGTGCAAGCTGCAAAAGCAAACTGTCAATGGCGTGCCTCCAAAATTTGTTACAGCTGAAAAGATAACTGCAGTAAGCTTCATCTTATATATGATTCCAGTTTCATAATTCTAATTCTCAAACAAAAAGGGAGAAGATCTCCCAGCTACTGTGAATACCAGTGATATTTGGAGAGGCACTGGAGAAACAGGTAGACAGTACAAAGTCATAACCTTAATCACAATCGAACTTATGAGTCTATGACCTTACATAAATATACAGTTTTGGCCCTTCAGTGAACATGTATGATGCAGGGAGAGTAACATCTTAAATTTAACAAATTTAGTACTTCAAACAGCGTTTGAGTAGTTATTCAAATGAATCCAAGCATACCCGAAAGGCAGGCCCAGTCTCGGCAGAAGTTGACCCAGAAAAGAACGCAAAAAAGCAAATCTCCTTGAAATGATCTCTAGTGATGGCACCTCAATGTATCCAAGCAGTGCCTTAAGCCATGATGGGGATTCTTCAGCTTGCTTTTTTAGCTTGCTTTTCAGATTGATTTTGGATTTCTTACGGTGTGAGTAGCTATTCATTATTATCTTGTCATAAGCACCTTCAATGGCCTCTTCACTTTCTTCATATCCAGCGTATTGTTTTAGAAGAAAATTCCGTGCACTGCGGACCTCTTCTTCAGATGAATAATGATCAACACCAAGAAGCTTGTAGGGATCCCATGATTGTTGTCTTGGAAATACAGGAGTGTGCTCTGCAGATTGTGCATAGATAGTCAACTGCAGTGCAAATACAGAACAACCAACAGCACGAAACTGAAGACAGAGTCTTCCAGCTTAAAACAAAAAACAAATAACTGAAATAGCAACCATGATGATGAAAAACCTACAGAAAATTAACTGTTGGCCACACAAAATTAATGTTAAGGGCATGTATTAAAGGTTCATTGACCACAACTTCACAAGTCAGGCTAAGCTTTGCTTGCGCAATCAAAGTGTAGGAACAGCCAAACATAATTCAAAATGTTTGTTCCAAATTCTGACTAAGTGAATGAAACTTTTGAAGTTATGATTTCTTTTCCAGCTGGTTTAGCAATACATAGAGGAGCCTGAGCTGAAACATGATTGATTAACTCAGCATCATCGAACTGTGGACCTAGAAACAATTGCAGACCAAAAGAATGGCAAAAGGAAAGAAAAGTTATTGGTATTTCTGCAGAACCTCAATAAACAAAGACAGGTAAAATCCCAGTCTCACAATATGAAAAGTAGGTTTTGTGCCTAGATTTCATCTCATTTGATTTTATCAGGACAATGCGTCCGGAAGGAAACAGTTCTTATCAGCCAGTAACCATTTCCAAGATTCACCAAAAAAATGGGCTAAGTTAGGCAAACTGGGATGGACAAAGGTGATTTATGGTTACACAAGGAGGTAACATTTGTGGATGTCACAAGGCAAATTGTGTCTCAACATTTCTCTTATCTCACAGAACGACAGAGTTGACCAGAAGAGACAATTTTTGCAGATTTTGTGCAGGTTTTTAGTCAACAAAAAAGGCAACATGCTCAATTGTTCACATCAATTGCCTTAGGAAAACCACTGAGCTTATTTTAGGTGAAAGAAGCTTATTTGGTAACAGGGGTTATACACAAATCAAAACCTTCTGTATCAGTGTCTCCCTTTCCTTTAGGATCATGTTCAATTGTTTATTTATTCTGAACTAGATAAACTATAACATACTTGTAACGCCTCCCGAGTTTTGCTTCCTAGATAAAGGTAAGCACCGGGGCCGTGTCAGGGGCGCGCCTCTTGTTCCTTCCAAAGCATCCTCCGCCCCAGCTCTGCAAAATTCACCAAAGCTACATGAACTAATCAGCACGTGAAGGCGGAAACTAACAAACTGACTACCTAACACGTCGAGAGGATGAAAATGAGCCGAGCATACAGGTGGAGGAGGGGCCTTGGGGGCGATGCAGCGGGCGGGCAGTGAAGACTGCCCGGTTGAAGGTGGCGGCGGCCTGCATCTCCGCCACCGCAACGACGCGACGTGGCGGGGGTTGGGGTGGAGGGCTGGGTGCGGTGGTGGAGCCGGGGAGCCCTCGCCGCCATGACAATTTTTTATGTTTTGACCTTTTTTTAAAGTTTTTTATAAATTCGCCCTGACGGTATTCTTTCAAAAAATGGACTGACGGTATTCTTTCAAAAAATGGATTGACGGTATTCTTTCAAAAAATGGAACTAGATCTTGGCGCCATGACAATTGGTGCCGTGCTTACACATCTCGGTGCCAATTACTCGGGCGTCTTGGTCGGGGGCTAGCGTTGGCGTGGACGTAGACGTCGCGGTGACCTGGCATTGATATCGGTGCCGAGATCCATGGCGCCAAGCTTAGCGCTGATATCCATGGCGTTGAGCTCGGCGCCAAGATATGTGGCGCCATGGTAACATTTAAAATCGACGCCCAACCTTTTTCGGTCGAGCCTTCTTCCTTTTCTTCCTGCTCTCTCGGTTTTTTGCTCTACCCACTTTGCCCAACGACAGAATCGGCATATTGGACTTTGGAAATTTGGATTTGATCCATAGATCTTCAAGAGCAAGGTATCATGTCTCCCCTTCTCCTTTTTTCCGCATTGATTCGATATATATATTATGTGTATTTTGCAAACCGAAGAAACGTCGTTACTTAGGGTTGTAAGCAATTATTAATATTGTAACCTCAAAGCATCGTGTTATATTATAGGTTCATTGATGTGCAGCAAATGGGAAACCCTATCTTGAATTCTGATATCTCATCCTAAAGATGAGGATGGCCTTCTGGAGGAGGTAAGGGGGTCCTTTTATAGGGGTCATCAGGCAGCCTGGTGGGCCCATGAATCCATGGAAACGCTTCATCTCGGCCCTCGATTCGAACCGACCTTAATCCACGGCGTAGATTGAACCTAGGAGGCGATGGAGGACCGATGTAGGAAGCAGGGGCTGACATGTGGGCCCCATAGGCCGACCGGCCTACAGGTGGGGCTGGCCGGCCCCACTCTCTAACAGCTCGGGCTAGATCACGGTGATTTGTCTTCTACGGTGGATTAGGGGTCCTTTAAGTCGGTTTTGTCACGGATGATTGTGATTTGCTCTGACATTATGGTTCACCTTACATGTTTTCTGATTAAATCCTCCTGCAGTCATGAAATCACCAAAACTTTTGGAATCCATTAGTTTAAACCTCTACTTACTATGTTGGTGATTGATTTGGGATAAATATTTATTAAGTTGACGGTTAAATATCAACTTTAGTGACCGTCAATAGTCACCCCGAGAGGAGTACCGAGAGTCCTCCACCCTTTCCATCGTCTTCCTCCTCTCCGACGAGGAGGGGGACCTCACTGCTGACAAGCCAAGGATCAGCACCGAGTGATCCTCTACCAAATCTCTCTCTTACGCTCTATTGTAACCCCCGTTTTGGGTGCTTTTGAATAGAAAGATCCTCAAACTGCTGGACTAGGGCTCCAATAGCCCGAACTAGGATAAACCTCTATGTCCCTTGTGTGATCTTTGAGTTCTTCTGTGTTCTTGAGTCCACTCGAGCCACCGGAGACATCGCACTTAGTGACATCCGACGAACAACAATGCTTGCCGCACTTTTGACCTAGCGACACTATCCTTATCTGGTAGGAGTTGTAACAGAACCGACCAAATCATAAGAACGTAAGTACAAAAACAATCACCGAAGCGATCAAATTCCTGTACTTAAACTCCCATAATCCCGGTAGTCCGAAAATCACGAAGGATTTCAACCAACTCTCGACATACAAACCAAGATCATAGTGATTCAACACAACACATCATCTATTACAACATTTCATAAGTAGCATTCGGAATACATCCATCAGAGTTCAAATAAAATATTACAAACCAAGTTTAAATGCGCGGAAGCAACATAGTTTAATGCATAACTTCATAGTTTCAAATACATTGCCAGATCTGAGTCATGTCCCACAAAAGCATTATCAGGTACGAGAACTAGTAGAGACCACGCCCAACGGCCTAGTCTTCATCCCCAGCTGGGAGAAGGCAGTACTTGTAGCAACCAAAGTAGAACTGGTCATCTGCAACAGGTGGGAGATAAACCCTGAGTACGAGAAGGTACTCAGCTAGACTTACCCGCCAAAAACCAGAAATAAAAGACACTAAGGATCATGCAAGGCTTTTCAGGTGGGCTAGCTGGACACAGTTGCATAAAAGAGCTTATGATTATAGTAACCAATTTAAACTTAGCATCAAGCTTATCATCATTTATCTGTCCACTAGATTAGTACCTATACTAGAGCACTCACTTATTAGGAGCAAACAATATTAACCATAGTAGGTATGACAAGGCTATCATCATCATATCATCATTTCTGAACCATTATGTTATTTAGTGCATCTACATTGGAGATAAGCCCGTCAAGTTCTCACTAACCGGGAGAGACGGCGATTCGAATCGAATTACAACTCAGCTGAGGGGGTATTCCTAACTCTCACCCGCATACTTTGCAAGGGTAGCCGTGGATCACCTTTGGAACAACTCAGAACCAAATTCACGGGTTCGATTAGCGCCAAAGACTCTCGTGGATTACCCTTCACCACCAGACGATCGGGACTTTTAAATCACGCCGCCTTGACTCACGCCACGGCTCCCTTCCGAGGCGCACTTTATACTTATCGACTCTGGCCCGAGGTGAGCTACTCGGCTTCGTGGTCGGTCTCCGAGACTGGCCAACTAAGAGAGAGGCATGCGTTCAACATGAACAGAAAGGCTCCAAGATTTAGTCCTTAATCGACATACATTGACGGAGTCATTGCAAACCGCAAGCCTTTCGTCTGGTCTTCATTTTAAATTAAGATCGGTTCTTTTCCACGATAGCAAATATAGCCAACCGTGCCACATGTATATTCCTATATCTCGCAGGTGACAGGAAATCACCCGACTTCTACCGCGTTTAAGCAGGGCTAAGCACTACACGAGCCTGAGCTACATAGGATTTAGGGTAACAATATCTGGACAAGGATTGGGTAACCAATGCAAAGAATTGTTTGCATCCAACACCTAAACTTAATGCAACAATATATATATAGATATATAATAATAATAATGTAACTGCATTTCGGAAATTAGGAGGCTTAATATGCTCCGGGCTTGCCTTTCACAAAGTTGCACGCAGACGGTGATCCGGGCACTCAACAACGACCTCGTCGGCACCTCTTCCAAGGTTGCACCTCCCGAACCTCCGGTGTCCATTCGCCGCTACTCGCTTCGGTTCCTCGAATTCCAGCAGGTCACTCCTTCCCAGTACACCTATTGCATGCCGATGCACGAGATAAATATCATGGATGCATAAGGAATGACATGATGCTCATGATGAATGAATCACAGTAAGTGTTTGACGAAAACATTACTGGACACTCGTTTACCAATTAAGAATAGCTCTATTCAAATCACTTTAAAACAGGTATCTAATTTAACTTGAAGAACAAAATCAACTTACCTAACTTGCATAACCTAAGATAAAGATGCTCATCTTCAGTTAAAGGCCTAACACCTAGGAACATTACCACAAACTTAGAAATAGTAAAGGCATACATAAATCAACATTTAAAGCTTTATATGCACACAAATAGTCCCTTAATTCAATCACAACTAGAGTTCTACAAATCCAGATGACTTGCAAGAGGACATTCTGGAAAGCTTATGAAATTCTCTACAATTCATTTGTAAACATCAAAGCATGATTCTTAAGTTAACCAAATCAAATTCCAGTAAACCTAGAATCTATCCCGCAATGACAAGGTTACTAACTTAATTATTTAATGATGATGCAAAAGCCTAATTTGACCAAACCAAGTTTACCAACTTGTTACACATACCAGAGGAACACTAGAAAGTATAATGCCAACTTCTAAATAAATCATTTAATATCCTTTTCTAATTTATTTATTTAATTAGGTGATTAAAGCAACATATAGTAAAACTGTTCATAAAAATCTACAAAAACTACAGTAGCTATCTCATATTTCACATAGACTATCATAAAAATTTCAAAGCCATTGAGCAAGCAGAACTTGCTGTATCCAAAATAACAGGTGGCATGCTTATTTTTAGCATAATTAGGAAACCCTAATGAAAAGTGTCAAGCAACAGATTTCACATTTTTCCTAGTATCATCCAAGCATAAGAATAGCACTCACCAAATTTTACCTTTACTGGATCTATAGAAAAATTATGAAAATTCATACAAGATCCATCCATTAATAAAAGGAAATTCTATAACTCAAAAACTACACATGCACTAGCTCTGAAATTTTAACCAGAGACTCTACTAAGCAATAATAGATTACCCACAAAATTTCATAATTTTTGGACCACAGAAACTCAAGATAAAATTCAAACAAGTTTGCATGTATCCAAAAACACATTTCAAAGTCCTATTTAATTCATCCAGAATTTCTAAAACATGTGCCCATATAATATTTTTATTAAATACTAGACATTATCATGAACTCAACAAAATTGGAACCATAGCATTTGGATCTACCAACTAGGAAATACACATTTTTAATCTATACACTAATCTGTGAAATAATAAAAACAAAACAAATAAGAAAACAATCCACAGCCACTGTTGGGCCGGCCCGAAGGAACGGCGGCCCGCGAAGCGCACTGGCGCGGCCCAAACAACGGCGCGGCCCACGCTGGGCTCCCGCCTCAGCTGCGGCGACTAACGGGAGGGGCCCGCGTGTCAGCGAGACAGACAGGGGAGGAAAATAGGGCGGCGGCGTAGATCGTCGCCGGCGACATCTCCGGCGAACTCGACGGCACCGGCGTGTTCCCCACACCCATGCGCATCTAGAGGACTCATCTATTGCAACGATTGCAGTGGCTAGAGGGGGTGGCGACGAGCACGGCGGCGCATGGCCGCGGCATGGCCGGCTCCAACGACGCTACGGCGTCGCAGCCCGATAGGGCGACCCTATGAGCTACGGCAGCATT